AGCTAAAATAATGTAGTATTGTGTCATCCACCTCTGTGGGATGACTGGGCTCAGCAGGGCAGTTCTTGCCTTATGGTTGCAGTCAGATGTTGGCTGAGGCTGGAGTCTTCTGGGGGTTTGACTGGGATGGACATCCTTCAAGGCTCACTTATGTGGCTGGCAGTTGACACTTGAACATCCTGTTGCCTTTTAACTTTGTCCAGTGCATTAATTGTCAGCTTCTACCATCATTCTTTAACAAATTCCTATTGATAGATATATATTTAGTTACTACTTTCAAGGCACAGGGCATATGAAATATACTTTGGGGGATAAATTTCATGTGTAGGAATTTACAAAGATCCCTTCCTTTCTGAGAAGTAAAATAGTCTGGCAGAAGCTGGCTTTGACAGCCATGATTTTTTACCATTAAATAACCTTACATCTTCTTTCAACAAGGCTCCTGAAGACGTTGAGTGTAATTTGTTAATATCTGGGGGCCTGATTGATCATAAGCGTGGTAAGCAGCACTTAATGGATTGGAGGGTGCGCCACAGGGTGAATTCCCTACATGAGCCACTTCTTGGTGACTTCGTTTTCCATGCTGTGAAATGGGACGAAATGGAAAAATTGCCTTTGCTAAGGTATATGTGGAGAATTTCCATTTTTGCTCAAAGAAAACCAGAGGAATAGTCCCCTCGAGAATTAGGTGTACCCTCAGTCTCCAACCCCTTTCTCCATTCCCATTTTCTCCCCTGTTTTATAAAGCTTCCTGGCAAGTCATGATGGTTTACACCTGTAATCCCAGCCCTCTGGGAGGCCAAGGTGGGAGGATCCCTTGAGGATGGGAGTTGAAGATCAGCCTGGGCAACATAGTGAGATTCCATCTCTAAAAAAACAAACAAAGGCTGGGTGCGGTGGCTCACGCCTCTAATCCCAGTACTTTGGGGGGTCGAGGTGGGTGGATTTCCTGAGCTCAGCAGTTCGAGACCAGACTGGGTAACATGGTGAAACCCCGTCTCTACTAAAATACAAAAAATTAGCCAGGTGTGGTGGTGCATGCCTATAGTCCCAGCTACTCCGGAGGCTGAGGCAGGAGAATCACTTGAACTTGGGAGGTGGAGGTTGCAGTGAGCCGAGATGGCACCACTGCGCTCCAGCCTGGGTGATAGAGCAAGACTGTCTCAAAAAACAAACAAACAGAAATAAATAAATAAAACGCTTTCTATGTCTTGGTCAGATGATCTAGTGGCCCTGTACTCCCTCAAATTGTCACCAGTCTCCTTTCCCTGTGTCATTCAAGATCTTATTCTTTTCAAACAAAATAATGCCGGTGATTTGGGATATTCATTCTAGACTACAATAGAAGTCGTCTGTATTACATTCAGAGCATTTTAAAAATAGGAATTTATCAGAAAGATTAAATGAGAGTTCATTTTTGAACTGTGGTTGGTGAGTCCTTAGGCACATCCTACAAGACTTTCAAAAGACAGTTGTAGGTTTTTATGAATTTTAATCGGGATTACCAGGGTAATTGTTCTGCTTCATTACCTCTCACTACCACTCAGATGTCCTTGTGCACACTTGGCCTTTAGCAGCTCAAAGTACTTGGTGGAACATATTTCGTCTTTTTGTGTCCCTTCAAGGGTGGCCGTGAGCAGGATGGGGACTGGGCAAGGAGGAGAACATGATCTGCTCGGGTGATCGGAAACCCTGGGCAGAGGTGGGCAGCTGCAGTTCTGGGGAGTGAGGCAGTTGAGGATCCAGGACAGCCGCCCAGCTGGGTCATCGAACTCAGCCCCTGTGAGGGTCCTCCTTTGTCTTCCAGTGGCTCCTTCTTACCCTTTGACTATATTCCAGCCCCAGCAGGGCCCTCAAGGTAGACTCATAAGGGGATCCTGCTCTTAGCGACCACTGCTCTCTTCATTAACTGCTCTTCCAGGCTCAGGCTAGCCATGTTGAACCACATACAGCTCCCTCTTTCCCACCGTCCACTCCTGAAATGTTCTGTGCCCTGTGCTGCTCTTCCTCCTCATCCTTGCCTGGCTAAGGAGCTCACTTCCTCTGGAAGCATCTTCCCTGGCGCTGCACATCCAGGGTAGGTGCCCCCTTGGACCCTGGTCCTCTCAGATGTCAATGGCTGTTGACTTGCCTGCACCCCCCAGTAGACTTCCTGGGGACTGGGGATAAGTCATCTCTAACTGTATTGCCTCCAGCTCTAAGCACAGGGCTCATCACTGATCAGGCACTTGTCAGTGTTAGCTGCAGCAAGTTAAGCTCCAAGTAAAGGAAAATGAACTGGTGGAGGAGGCTGACTAGAATACCTTGTTCTGGGGTCTTGTGCCTCCCTTGAGGCTCTCTGCATACTGCCACCTGCTCCTAGCTGCCGGTCAGCGCACACTGATCGTCCACTGGCCCTAGACTCGACTTAGGGCAGGAGGTAGGGAGGCAGGAATGAGATCGAATGCTTGCTACCCATCCTCAAAGTGTTGAGTTGAGAAAACCAGATGAACTGTGTGCATAGTGAACCTTGGGAATGAGAAGGAATGTAGCATGACTTCTGAGGGCTAGTGTGGTGTGTACACCAGCTGCAGCGGCGTCTCCTGGGCCCTGCTTAGAAAAGCAGCACATCCGACCCTACCAGACCTCCTGAATCAGAAACTGTATTTTAACAAGACCCCAGGGGAGGTATAGGTATGCTGGAGTCTGAGAGGCACTGGTTTAAGCGTGGCAGTGAGCACTTTGGTCCTGCCTGGGCTGCAGTATTTGGAGAAGGCTGCATTGGCAAGGGAGCAGCTGAGCACTCGGGTCCTGGGAGGGCAATACCCAGGGTGGGTGAAGGAGGAGAGTATTTGAGGTTGGGAGGGTGTGGAGCCAGGAGAGGACCCGTCTTCATGCTAGCGATGAATGTTGGCAGAGCAAAGGAATCCACCTTCTAAAGGATCTCATTTGGCAACATTCACGTCACATGTTCAAAGGTTACCAAATCAGATACTAAAACTGAACACATCATTTTCATCATGCAGAGGTAGATTCTATGTTCTTCCTTAGCGGCAGCAAAGGTAGTGGAAAGCAATAGGCAGGGAGTCCAGACCCAGGTCTGGTTGTGGTTTTACTGATAACAAAGCTGTGGGGTCCTGACCAGGCTGCTTTACAAAATGAGAATTTTATTCATTTATGATTTTGTGGGTCAAGACAAAAGCCGTGGGCACAGCTCTGGCAGGCAGTTCTGCTCTGGGAAGCATTATCGGGGGTCACTCAGCTGGTGGCAGCCCTGGGTTGGGCCGGAGGGTCCAATGATGAGCCTTTCTTCATATCTGGCTCCTCCGTGCTCCCCCATGTGGCCTTTGGCTGTCCACATGGCTAACTTGGGCTTCCTCGCAGCATGGTGGCCCCAGACTTTTTATGTGGCAGCTGGCTTACAAGAGGGAAGAAGTGGAAGCTGCGAGGTCTCTTAAGACCTGGAACTGACACATCTTCATTGCATTCTATTGATCCCAGATTCAAGGGGAGGGACAACAGTCTGTATCTCTTGATGGATGGAGTAGGATGCAGGCACAAGAAGGACAGAATTGATTAAGGCTCTCTTTGGGAACTGTCCATAATGTCACATACCAGGCTCCATGGCATCATCAGGACCCAGACTCCTCTCTGCCTCTCCTCAGCACGCACTTCCATCTCATGGTCCAAAGTGGCTGTTGGTGCTCTAGCCAGCAGGAAGCAGCGGAGAAGGAGGAGGGCACCGTTCGCTCCCCTTCAAGGAGATTTCTGTTTCATTGTTCAGGTAGTCCATGGCCATGCTGTCTTAGTCCATTTTGCATTGCCATAAGGAATACCTCGGAATGACTAATTTACGGAGAAGAGGTTTATGGCTCATGGTTCTGCAGGTTGTACAAGAAGCATAGCACTGTTGTCTCCTGGTGAGGCCCTCAGGAAGCTTCCACTCATAGCAGAAGGTGGAGGGGGAACAGGTGTGTCATATGGTGAAGGAGGAAGCAAGAGAAAGGGGAGGAAGTGCCAGGCTCTTTGAAACAGCCAGCTCTTCCGTGAACTGAGGAGAGTAAGAGCTTGTTCTTTACCACTGGCACAGGCCATTCATGAGGGATCTGCACCCATAGCCTCCCACCAGGCCCCATCTCCAACACTGGGGATCACATTTCAGCATGAGATTTGGAGGGGCCTGACATCCGTGCCCTATCACATGGCTGTAGGATGCTGTAAGACAATGTGACCAGCTAGAAGTCGGAGGTCTGTTCTAAGGAAGAAGGGGAGAATGAAAAGGGGGAGAACTGGCTTTTGTCTTGACCCACAAAATCATAAATGAATAAAATTCTCATTTTGTAAAGCAGCTTGGTCAGGACCTCACAGCTTTGTTATCAGTAAAACCACAACCAGACCTGGGTCTGGACTCCCTGCCTACTGCTTTCTACTACCTTTGCTGCCACTAAGGAAGAATATAGAATCTGCCTCTGCGTGATGAAAATGATGTCTTCAATTTTAGTATCTGATCTGGTAACCTTTGAACATGTGACATAAATGTTGCCAAATCAGATCCTTTAGAACTGATTACAGCTCATGCCTATAATCCCAGCACTTTGGGAGGCTGAGGCAGATGGATCACTTGAGGTCAGGAGTTCGAGACCAGCCTAGCCAACATGGTGAAACGCTGTCTCTACTAAAAATACAAAAATTAGCTGGGCATGGTAGCGTTCGCCTGTAGTCCCAGCTACTCGGGAGGCTGAGGCAGAAGAATGACTTGAACCCAGGAGATGGAGGTTGCGGTGAGCTGAGATTGAGCCACTGCACTCCACCCTGGGCAACAAAGTGAGACTCCATCTCAGAAAAAAAAAGTGAAAGGAAACGCCAGTTGTTATTTCAACTTCCCCAAAGGCAAAACCTGCTTGAAATTTTCAGGAGGCAGAAGCTGCAGACAGGGCAAGCCTCAAGACACAGGGAGGTGGGTCTCCCGAGTGAGCCCACTGGCTGTGCCGGGGATCCTCACAGCCTCTCTCTGCCCGCAGTTCACCACAGGCACGTGCAGCGACTCGGTGGTTCACAGCTGTGACCTGTGTGGCAAGGGCTTCCGCCTGCAGCGCATGCTCAACCGTCACCTCAAGTGCCACAACCAGGTGAAGAGACACCTGTGCGCCTTCTGCGGCAAGGGCTTCAACGACACCTTCGACCTGAAGAGGCACGTCCGCACGCACACAGGTGAGTGGGCAGAGCGTGCTTTGTTCTCTGTTTTGTTATTCTGGCCAAGAGCTCCTGCTTCTTTCCCACCAGAGAACCAGGTCAAGAGCGTGGAACAATGTTGTGTTTCTAGAAAGATCACAAGATGTGAATCACAAGGTCAGGAGTTTGAGACCAGCCTGGCCAACATGGTGAAACTCTACTAAAAATAAAAACATTAGCTGGGCATGGTGGTGGGTGCCTGTAATCGAAGCTACTCAGGAGGCCTAGGCAGGAGAATCACTTGAACCTGGGAGCCGGAGGTTGCAGTGAGCCGATTGTACCACTGCACTCCATACCGGGTGACAGTACAACACTCTGTCTCAAAAGAAAGAAAGAAAGATCACAAGATGATGGGGTGTTGGGGCCAGCCCTTCTGTGTTCACCTCCGGACGCTGCCACATGCTGGCTGTGTCACCCTGGGCTGGGTGAGCCACCTTTGGTAGCCTGCCTTTCACCCTGTAAAATGGAGATACTGATGTGAGTTCTAGTAAGGCTCAAAACAAATTCCTGGCTGGAAGTATTCTGAGAATCATGATGCATGATACACACATGGGCACTGCCACAGCTCAGCACCTTGGTCCTGGCTGATGGAAGATGGTTCTTGTGGTCCCACAACGAGTATTTGCTGCTTCTCTCTTGAGACGTAAGCCTGTCTCTGGATAGCATCATGTTCCTTCTAAGAGACAAAAAGGAGCTCATTGCCTTTAGAGCTGACCTGAGCCTCCCACAGGGGCCTGGTGGGTGAGCAGCTGGCTCTCCTTGGACTTGCCTCAGTTTCCCAGCTTAGAAAGTGGGAATCCAGGTTCTCCCCAGTTCCAGTTCTTCACAGAGTCCTGGGGGTGCCCTTGGCCTCTGGTCTTGGCCTCACTGCTTCTGTCCTAGAAACACCTGGCCTCCATGCTTTCCCGCCTGAGCCCCATCCTCCACACATCTGCCAGAGTGATCTCTCCGTGAGAATTCTAAGGACTCTACTTCCCTGCTAAGAAATCTCCAGCTCTGAGCAGAATGAAATCCAGACTCCTCATCTCTCATCTTGGTGGGTTTTGTGTAAAGGCCTTTACAATGTGGGTCCCATCTTCAAATCCCGCATCCTATTCTCAGCCCATCCCAGCCCGTCACCTCCCATCCCATCTCCACCTATCACAGCCCACCTCAGGTCAGCCCGTCTCACGCCAACCCATTCAGCGCATCCTATCCCATCCCATCTTAACCCATTCAACCCTATCCCGGCTACCACCCACCCTCCCAACAAACTTACAGAATTTAGCATCTACAGACTAGGTGCAGTGGTTCATGCTCATAATCCTTGCACTTAGGGAGGCCAAGGTGAGAGGATTGCTTGAGGCCAGGAATTGGAGACCAGCCTGGGCAACATCAAAAGACCCTGTCTCCACAAAAAAATTTAAAATTAGCCAGGCGTGGTAGTGCATGCCTATAGTTCTAGCTGCTTGGGAGACTGAGCCTGGAGGATCACTTGAACCTAAGAGTTTGAGGCCATGGTGAGCTATGATTGTACCACTGCACTCCAGCCTGGGCAAGAGAGCAAGACCCTGTCTCAAGGAAAAAAAAAATGGTTTGCTATCTGCCCTCCCTGAGCTCTTTCAGTCCTGGTATTTTGGTAGGGATGGGAACATGCTCTTTCCTCCCTCCAGATGGGGCTCCCAGCTACTCGGCCCCCATACAGATTCCTTCTTAGGCCTCTGCATCCTATTTTCTAGTTCATATCATGCTCAATTGCTCTTAGAGAACTGGCTGAGCTGCCTCCCTGGTCTGGAAAGAGTATCTGCTACCTTAGAGAGTGGCTGGCATCCTGAAATATTTCTTTTTTCCTTTTTAAAAACTTTTTCTTTTCTTTTTTTTTTTTTTTTTTTTTTTTGAGACAGGGTCTTGCTCAGACTGAGTACAGCCACTAACTCCTGGACTCAACTGACCCTCCCACCTCAGCCCCCCTAGTAGCTGGGACTATAGGTGCATGCCACCACTCCCAGCTATTTATTTTTATTTTGTATGAGACGGAGTTTCGCTCTTGTTACCCAGGCTGGAGTGCAATGGCTCGATCTCGGCTCACTGCAACCTCCGCCTCCTGGGTTCAGGCAATTCTCCTGCCTCAGCCTCCTGAGTAGCTGGGATTATAGGCACGCACCACCATGCCCAGCTAATTTTTTTTGTATTTTTAGTAGAGACGGGGTTTCACCATGTTGACCAGGTTGGTCTCGATCTCTCGACCTCGTGATCCACCTGCCTCGGCCTCCCAAAGTGCTGGGATTACAGGCTTGAGCCACCGCGCCTGGCTTTATTTTGTATTTTTTACAGAGATGGGATATTGTCATGTTGCCTAGACTGGTCTCAAACTCCTGGGCTCAAGCAATCCACCTGCCTTGGCCTCCCAAAATGCTGGGATTACAGGCGTGAGCCACCGCACCTGGCCAAAAACTTTTTCTGAAGAGAACTTTTCATTTCAGTGTGACGATGTACATCCAGAAAAGTGCACAGATCCTAAGTGCTGACCTCAACCAGTAGGAAGTTTTACAAAGTGAACATACCCATGCAGCTAGCAGTCAGGCTGAGAAACACTATTTCCAGCCACTAGAAGTCACTACCCTTCCCGGTCAGCCTCTTTCTCTCCAGGGAAAACCACTGTTGCAAATTCTAACAGCTTAAGTTACTGTGGCCTGTTTTTGAGCTTGATGTCAATGTAATCCCACAGTGTTCTCTTACGGCCTGGTTATATGGCTTCTTTTTTTTAATTCCTAGCACCAGTGAATCAGTAAAAGTTTGACTTCCGTGAGGCTAAGCTGGGCATGAGGTAGGGATGAGGAGAATGCTTGGGGGGTAGTGGCGGATCCATAGGGCAGTGGGGGGTCTTATAAGAGATCTGAGGGGAGGTATCGAGGCTGTCAAGAGACCCACATGGCAGCAGCAAATTGGGACCACTCCTGAAGTTGCTGGCCATTGGTGGCCCTGGAGGCTGTCTCTGCCCTTTATCTCTGAGGATGTCCTTGATGGCATTCCCTGCCTGGGTGGACTCTGGTCACTCCCCACCCCTGGCTTCTAGGACGCAGTGCAGGGGACCTGGGGAGCATGGCTGGCTGTTGGTACCTTGGAGTAACCACGGAACTGGTGGCATTGCTTCACCTGTGATTGAATTAATTCTCCATTGCTGGAGACTAAGGGAAATATTAGGGACGGGCAGCTTCTCGGAGAAGACTTTACAAGTTGAGATGGTCACATACTAGTTAAGAACTCCTGATCTGAGGTAGCTGACTGTGAGACTTCATCTAAATTATTCATCTTTCACCTTAGTTTTTCCATCTCTGGAATGGGTGTGATGATTTTAATACTTGCCACTTAAAGTGATGGTTGTGAGGTTTTCGGGCCAGCATTATAAAAAAGTGCTTCTTACATTGTAAGTGCTTAGTAAACATTAACTATTATTGGAAGTAAGACTGCAACAGTTGGCAGAGGCTTCCTGAGGACCTGATGTGTAACAGACCCCAGGATTCACCTCTGTGCTCGTGGAGCTCTCAGCCAAGAGAGGGAGAAATAACTCAGACATCTGACTGTGAGACGAGTGAAACAGCAGATCTGCCAGACAGAAAAGTGGCACATGCCAAAGGAAGTCCTAGGAGGTGCCTCCCTGCATGCCAGGGAGGCCTCTCAGAAAAGGTAGCCTTTCGGCTGGGCCTTGAAGGATGAGCGAGGTTTCTACAGCATGGTAGAAGGAGGAAGGGCATTGCTGATGAGGAGTGTCTTAGTTTGGGTTGCCCAGGAAGCAGACCTTGGCACAATAATTTGGATGTGAGCAGGTACAATATATTGGGGGGCAACCCAAACTCAGGAATCACAGTGGAGGAGGGAGGGGAGGCAGGAGGGAAGACAGCCAATTAGAGCTCATCAATAATAAGCGGGTTATCCATGCGTGGTGGCTCACGCCTGTAATCCCAGCACTTTGGGAGGCCGAGGTGGGTGGATCACAAAGTCAAGAGATCGAGACCATCCTGGTCAACATGGTGAAACCCCGTCTCTACTAAAAATACAAAACATTAGCTGGGCATGGTGGCGCGTGCCTGTAATCCCAGCTACTCAGGAGGCTGAGGCAGGAGAATTGCCTGAACCCAGGAGGCGGAGGTTGCGGTGAGCCAAGATCGCGCCGTTGCACTCCAGCCTGGGTAACAAGAGTGAAACTCCGTCTCAATAAATAAATAAATAAATAAATAATAATAAGCGGATTATCACTGTGGGCAACGGGGGCTCAATCCCACTGGAGATCCTTTGAAGAACCATATAGACTGCACCCCAGGTTACTGAGTCAGCCCCCATCCCTCCTGCTTGGGTGTCCATCCTGGACCTCCTCACTGCTAGGCAGTTCTCCTACCCACTTCCTGCCCCAGCCCTTTGCAGGCCTGGAGAGCATTCTTAGGCAGAGAGATGCAGGAACCATCTGAGATGCCTGGGGTCTGCTGGGGGGCTATGAGGGGGGAATCTGCCCCCCAGGGCAGATTCCCCCCTCATAGCCCCCCAGCAGACCCCAGGCATCTCAGATGGTTCCTGCATCTCTCTGCCTAAGAATGCTCTCCAGGCCTGCAAAGGGCTGGGGCAGGAAGTGGGTAGGAGAACTGCCTAGCAGTGAGGAGGTCCAGGATGGACACCCAAGCAGGAGGGATGGGGGCTGACTCAGTAACCTGGGGTGCAGTCTATATGGTTCTTCAAAGGATCTCCAGTGGGATTGAGCCCCCGTTGCCCACAGTGATAATCCGCTTATTATTATTTATTTATTTATTTATTTATTGAGACGGAGTTTCACTCTTGTTACCCAGGCTGGAGTGCAACGGCGCGATCTTGGCTCACCGCAACCTCCGCCTCCTGGGTTCAGGCAATTCTCCTGCCTCAGCCTCCTGAGTAGCTGGGATTACAGGCACGCGCCACCATGCCCAGCTAATGTTTTGTATTTTTAGTAGAGACGGGGTTTCACCATGTTGACCAGGATGGTCTCGATCTCTTGACTTTGTGATCCACCCACCTCGGCCTCCCAAAGTGCTGGGATTACAGGCGTGAGCCACCACGCATGGATAACCCGCTTATTATTGATGAGCTCTAATTGGCTGTCTTCCCTCCTGCCTCCCCTCCCTCCTCCACTGTGATTCCTGAGTTTGGGTTGCCCCCCAATATATTGTACCTGCTCACATCCAAATTATTGTGCCAAGGTCTGCTTCCTGGGCAACCCAAACTAAGACACTCCTCATCAGCAATGCCCTTCCTCCTTCTACCATGCTGTAGAAACCTCGCTCATCCTTCAAGGCCCAGCCGAAAGGCTACCTTTTCTGAGAGGCCTCCCTGGCATGCAGGGAGGCACCTCCTAGGACTTCCTTTGGCATGTGCCACTTTTCTGTCTGGCAGATCTGCTGTTTCACTCGTCTCACAGTCAGATGTCTGAGTTATTTCTCCCTCTCTTGGCTGAGAGCTCCACGAGCACAGAGGTGAATCCTGGGGTCTGTTACACATCAGGTCCTCAGGAAGCCTCTGCCAACTGTTGCAGTCTTACTTCCAATAATAGTTAATGTTTACTAAGCACTTACAATGTAAGAAGCACTTTTTTATAATGCTGGCCCGAAAACCTCACAACCATCACTTTAAGTGGCAAGTATTAAAATCATCACACCCATTCCAGAGATGGAAAAACTAAGGTGAAAGATGAATAATTTAGATGAAGTCTCACAGTCAGCTACCTCAGATCAGGAGTTCTTAACTAGTATGTGACCATCTCAACTTGTAAAGTCTTCTCCGAGAAGCTGCCCGTCCCTAATATTTCCCTTAGTCTCCAGCAATGGAGAATTAATTCAATCACAGGTGAAGCAATGCCACCAGTTCCGTGGTTACTCCAAGGTACCAACAGCCAGCCATGCTCCCCAGGTCCCCTGCACTGCGTCCTAGAAGCCAGGGGTGGGGAGTGACCAGAGTCCACCCAGGCAGGGAATGCCATCAAGGACATCCTCAGAGATAAAGGGCAGAGACAGCCTCCAGGGCCACCAATGGCCAGCAACTTCAGGAGTGGTCCCAATTTGCTGCTGCCATGTGGGTCTCTTGACAGCCTCGATACCTCCCCTCAGATCTCTTATAAGACCCCCCACTGCCCTATGGATCCGCCACTACCCCCCAAGCATTCTCCTCATCCCTACCTCATGCCCAGCTTAGCCTCACGGAAGTCAAACTTTTACTGATTCACTGGTGCTAGGAATTAAAAAAAAGAAGCCATATAACCAGGCCGTAAGAGAACACTGTGGGATTACATTGACATCAAGCTCAAAAACAGGCCACAGTAACTTAAGCTGTTAGAATTTGCAACAGTGGTTTTCCCTGGAGAGAAAGAGGCTGACCGGGAAGGGTAGTGACTTCTAGTGGCTGGAAATAGTGTTTCTCAGCCTGACTGCTAGCTGCATGGGTATGTTCACTTTGTAAAACTTCCTACTGGTTGAGGTCAGCACTTAGGATCTGTGCACTTTTCTGGATGTACATCGTCACACTGAAATGAAAAGTTCTCTTCAGAAAAAGTTTTTGGCCAGGTGCGGTGGCTCACGCCTGTAATCCCAGCATTTTGGGAGGCCAAGGCAGGTGGATTGCTTGAGCCCAGGAGTTTGAGACCAGTCTAGGCAACATGACAATATCCCATCTCTGTAAAAAATACAAAATAAAGCCAGGCGCGGTGGCTCAAGCCTGTAATCCCAGCACTTTGGGAGGCCGAGGCAGGTGGATCACGAGGTCGAGAGATCGAGACCAACCTGGTCAACATGGTGAAACCCCGTCTCTACTAAAAATACAAAAAAAATTAGCTGGGCATGGTGGTGCGTGCCTATAATCCCAGCTACTCAGGAGGCTGAGGCAGGAGAATTGCCTGAACCCAGGAGGCGGAGGTTGCAGTGAGCCGAGATCGAGCCATTGCACTCCAGCCTGGGTAACAAGAGCGAAACTCCGTCTCAAAAAAAAAAAAAAATACAAAATAAAAATAAATAGCTGGGAGTGGTGGCATGCACCTATAGTCCCAGCTACTAGGGGGGCTGAGGTGGGAGGGTCAGTTGAGTCCAGGAGTTAGTGGCTGTACTCAGTCTGAGCAAGACCCTGTCTCAAAAGAAAAGAAAAAAAGAAAAAAGAAAAGAAAAAGTTTTTAAAAAGGAAAAAAGAAATATTTCAGGATGCCAGCCACTCTCTAAGGTAGCAGATACTCTTTCCAGACCAGGGAGGCAGCTCAGCCAGTTCTCTAAGAGCAATTGAGCATGATATGAACTAGAAAATAGGATGCAGAGGCCTAAGAAGGAATCTGTATGGGGGCCGAGTAGCTGGGAGCCCCATCTGGAGGGAGGAAAGAGCATGTTCCCATCCCTACCAAAATACCAGGACTGAAAGAGCTCAGGGAGGGCAGATAGCAAACCATTTTTTTTTTCCTTGAGACAGGGTCTTGCTCTCTTGCCCAGGCTGGAGTGCAGTGGTACAATCATAGCTCACCATGGCCTCAAACTCTTAGGTTCAAGTGATCCTCCAGGCTCAGTCTCCCAAGCAGCTAGAACTATAGGCATGCACTACCACGCCTGGCTAATTTTAAATTTTTTTGTGGAGACAGGGTCTTTTGATGTTGCCCAGGCTGGTCTCCAATTCCTGGCCTCAAGCAATCCTCTCACCTTGGCCTCCCTAAGTGCAAGGATTATGAGCATGAACCACTGCACCTAGTCTGTAGATGCTAAATTCTGTAAGTTTGTTGGGAGGGTGGGTGGTAGCCGGGATAGGGTTGAATGGGTTAAGATGGGATGGGATAGGATGCGCTGAATGGGTTGGCGTGAGACGGGCTGACCTGAGGTGGGCTGTGATAGGTGGAGATGGGATGGGAGGTGACGGGCTGGGATGGGCTGAGAATAGGATGCGGGATTTGAAGATGGGACCCACATTGTAAAGGCCTTTACACAAAACCCACCAAGATGAGAGATGAGGAGTCTGGATTTCATTCTGCTCAGAGCTGGAGATTTCTTAGCAGGGAAGTAGAGTCCTTAGAATTCTCACGGAGAGATCACTCTGGCAGATGTGTGGAGGATGGGGCTCAGGCGGGAAAGCATGGAGGCCAGGTGTTTCTAGGACAGAAGCAGTGAGGCCAAGACCAGAGGCCAAGGGCACCCCCAGGACTCTGTGAAGAACTGGAACTGGGGAGAACCTGGATTCCCACTTTCTAAGCTGGGAAACTGAGGCAAGTCCAAGGAGAGCCAGCTGCTCACCCACCAGGCCCCTGTGGGAGGCTCAGGTCAGCTCTAAAGGCAATGAGCTCCTTTTTGTCTCTTAGAAGGAACATGATGCTATCCAGAGACAGGCTTACGTCTCAAGAGAGAAGCAGCAAATACTCGTTGTGGGACCACAAGAACCATCTTCCATCAGCCAGGACCAAGGTGCTGAGCTGTGGCAGTGCCCATGTGTGTATCATGCATCATGATTCTCAGAATACTTCCAGCCAGGAATTTGTTTTGAGCCTTACTAGAACTCACATCAGTATCTCCATTTTACAGGGTGAAAGGCAGGCTACCAAAGGTGGCTCACCCAGCCCAGGGTGACACAGCCAGCATGTGGCAGCGTCCGGAGGTGAACACAGAAGGGCTGGCCCCAACACCCCATCATCTTGTGATCTTTCTTTCTTTCTTTTGAGACAGAGTGTTGTACTGTCACCCGGTATGGAGTGCAGTGGTACAATCGGCTCACTGCAACCTCCGGCTCCCAGGTTCAAGTGATTCTCCTGCCTAGGCCTCCTGAGTAGCTTCGATTACAGGCACCCACCACCATGCCCAGCTAATGTTTTTATTTTTAGTAGAGTTTCACCATGTTGGCCAGGCTGGTCTCAAACTCCTGACCTTGTGATTCACATCTTGTGATCTTTCTAGAAACACAACATTGTTCCACGCTCTTGACCTGGTTCTCTGGTGGGAAAGAAGCAGGAGCTCTTGGCCAGAATAACAAAACAGAGAACAAAGCACGCTCTGCCCACTCACCTGTGTGCGTGCGGACGTGCCTCTTCAGGTCGAAGGTGTCGTTGAAGCCCTTGCCGCAGAAGGCGCACAGGTGTCTCTTCACCTGGTTGTGGCACTTGAGGTGACGGTTGAGCATGCGCTGCAGGCGGAAGCCCTTGCCACACAGGTCACAGCTGTGAACCACCGAGTCGCTGCACGTGCCTGTGGTGAACTGCGGGCAGAGAGAGGCTGTGAGGATCCCCGGCACAGCCAGTGGGCTCACTCGGGAGACCCACCTCCCTGTGTCTTGAGGCTTGCCCTGTCTGCAGCTTCTGCCTCCTGAAAATTTCAAGCAGGTTTTGCCTTTGGGGAAGTTGAAATAACAACTGGCGTTTCCTTTCACTTTTTTTTTCTGAGATGGAGTCTCACTTTGTTGCCCAGGGTGGAGTGCAGTGGCTCAATCTCAGCTCACCGCAACCTCCATCTCCTGGGTTCAAGTCATTCTTCTGCCTCAGCCTCCCGAGTAGCTGGGACTACAGGCGAACGCTACCATGCCCAGCTAATTTTTGTATTTTTAGTAGAGACAGCGTTTCACCATGTTGGCTAGGCTGGTCTCGAACTCCTGACCTCAAGTGATCCATCTGCCTCAGCCTCCCAAAGTGCTGGGATTATAGGCATGAGCTGTAATCAGTTCTAAAGGATCTGATTTGGCAACATTTATGTCACATGTTCAAAGGTTACCAGATCAGATACTAAAATTGAAGACATCATTTTCATCACGCAGAGGCAGATTCTATATTCTTCCTTAGTGGCAGCAAAGGTAGTAGAAAGCAGTAGGCAGGGAGTCCAGACCCAGGTCTGGTTGTGGTTTTACTGATAACAAAGCTGTGAGGTCCTGACCAAGCTGCTTTACAAAATGAGAATTTTATTCATTTATGATTTTGTGGGTCAAGACAAAAGCCAGTTCTCCCCCTTTTCATTCTCCCCTTCTTCCTTAGAACAGACCTCCGACTTCTAGCTGGTCACATTGTCTTACAGCATCCTACAGCCATGTGATAGGGCACGGATGTCAGGCCCCTCCAAATCTCATGCTGAAATGTGATCCCCAGTGTTGGAGATGGGGCCTGGTGGGAGGCTATGGGTGCAGATCCCTCATGAATGGCCTGTGCCAGTGGTAAAGAACAAGCTCTTACTCTCCTCAGTTCACGGAAGAGCTGGCTGTTTCAAAGAGCCTGGCACTTCCTCCCCTTTCTCTTGCTTCCTCCTTCACCATATGACACACCTGTTCCCCCTCCACCTTCTGCTATGAGTGGAAGCTTCCTGAGGGCCTCACCAGGAGACAACAGTGCTATGCTTCTTGTACAACCTGCAGAACCATGAGCCATAAACCTCTTCTCCGTAAATTAGTCATTCCGAGGTATTCCTTATGGCAATGCAAAATGGACTAAGACAGCATGGCCATGGACTACCTGAACAATGAAACAGAAATCTCCTTGAAGGGGAGCGAACGGTGCCCTCCTCCTTCTCCGCTGCTTCCTGCTGGCTAGAGCACCAACAGCCACTTTGGACCATGAGATGGAAGTGCGTGCTGAGGAGAGGCAGAGAGGAGTCTGGGTCCTGATGATGCCATGGAGCCTGGTATGTGACATTATGGACAGTTCCCAAAGAGAGCCTTAATCAATTCTGTCCTTCTTGTGCCTGCATCCTACTCCATCCATCAAGAGATACAGACTGTTGTCCCTCCCCTTGAATCTGGGATCAATAGAATGCAATGAAGATGTGTCAGTTCCAGGTCTTAAGAGACCTCGCAGCTTCCACTTCTTCCCTCTTGTAAGCCAGCTGCCACATAAAAAGTCTGGGGCCACCATGCTGCGAGGAAGCCCAAGTTAGCCATGTGGACAGCCAAAGGCCACATGGGGGAGCACGGAGGAGCCAGATATGAAGAAAGGCTCATCATTGGACCCTCCGGCCCAACCCAGGGCTGCCACCAGCTGAGTGACCCCCGATAATGCTTCCCAGAGCAGAACTGCCTGCCAGAGCTGTGCCCACGGCTTTTGTCTTGACCCACAAAATCATAAATGAATAAAATTCTCATTTTGTAAAGCAGCCTGGTCAGGACCCCACAGCTTTGTTATCAGTAAAACCACAACCAGACCTGGGTCTGGACTCCCTGCCTATTGCTTTCCACTACCTTTGCTGCCGCTAAGGAAGAACATAGAATCTACCTCTGCATGATGAAAATGATGTGTTCAGTTTTAGTATCTGATTTGGTAACCTTTGAACATGTGACGTGAATGTTGCCAAATGAGATCCTTTAGAAGGTGGATTCCTTTGCTCTGCCAACATTCATCGCTAGCATGAAGACGGGTCCTCTCCTGGCTCCACACCCTCCCAACCTCAAATACTCTCCTCCTTCACCCACCCTGGGTATTGCCCTCCCAGGACCCGAGTGCTCAGCTGCTCCCTTGCCAATGCAGCCTTCTCCAAATACTGCAGCCCAGGCAGGACCAAAGTGCTCACTGCCACGCTTAAACCAGTGCCTCTCAGACTCCAGCATACCTATACCTCCCCTGGGGTCTTGTTAAAATACAGTTTCTGATTCAGGAGGTCTGGTAGGGTCGGATGTGCTGCTTTTCTAAGCAGGGCCCAGGAGACGCCGCTGCAGCTGGTGTACACACCACACTAGCCCTCAGAAGTCATGCTACATTCCTTCTCATTCCCAAGGTTCACTATGCACACAGTTCATCTGGTTTTCTCAACTCAACACTTTGAGGATGGGTAGCAAGCATTCGATCTCATTCCTGCCTCCCTACCTCCTGCCCTAAGTCGAGTCTAGGGCCAGTGGACGATCAGTGTGCGCTGACCGGCAGCTAGGAGCAGGTGGCAGTATGCAGAGAGCCTCAAGGGAGGCACAAGACCCCAGAACAAGGTATTCTAGTCAGCCTCCTCCACCAGTTCATTTTCCTTTACTTGGAGCTTAACTTGCTGCAGCTAACACTGACAAGTGCCTGATCAGTGATGAGCCCTGTGCTTAGAGCTGGAGGCAATACAGTTAGAGATGACTTATCCCCAGTCCCCAGGAAGTCTACTGGGGGGTGCAGGCAAGTCAACAGCCATTGACATCTGAGAGGACCAGGGTCCAAGGGGGCACCTACCCTGGATGTGCAGCGCCAGGGAAGATGCTTCCAGAGGAAGTGAGCTCCTTAGCCAGGCAAGGATGAGGAGGAAGAGCAGCACAGGGCACAGAACATTTCAGGAGTGGACGGTGGGAAAGAGGGAGCTGTATGTGGTTCAACATGGCTAGCCTGAGCCTGGAAGAGCAGTTAATGAAGAGAGCAGTGGTCGCTAAGAGCAGGATCCCCTTATGAGTCTACCTTGAGGGCCCTGCTGGGGCTGGAATATAGTCAAAGGGTAAGAAGGAGCCACTGGAAGACAAAGGAGGACCCTCACAGGGGCTGAGTTCGATGACCCAGCTGGGCGGCTGTCCTGGATCCTCAACTGCCTCACTCCCCAGAACTGCAGCTGCCCACCTCTGCCCAGGGTTTCCGATCACCCGAGCAGATCATGTTCTCCTCCTTGCCCAGTCCCCATCCTGCTCACGGCCACCCTTGAAGGGACACAAAAAGACGAAATATGTTCCACCAAGTACTTTGAGCTGCTAAAGGCCAAGTGTGCACAAGGACATCTGAGTGGTAGTGAGAGGTAATGAAGCAGAACAATTACCCTGGTAATCCCGATTAAAATTCATAAAAACCTACAACTGTCTTTTGAAAGTCTTGTAGGATGTGCCTAAGGACTCACCAACCACAGTTCAAAAATGAACTCTCATTTAATCTTTCTGATAAATTCCTATTTTTAAAATGCTCTGAATGTAATACAGACGACTTCTATTGTAGTCTAGAATGAATATCCCAAATCACCGGCATTATTTTGTTTGAAAAGAATAAGATCTTGAATGACACAGGGAAAGGAGACTGGTGACAATTTGAGGGAGTACAGGGCCACTAGATCATCTGACCAAGACATAGAAAGCGTTTTATTTATTTATTTCTGTTTGTTTGTTTTTTGAGACAGTCTTGCTCTATCACCCAGGCTGGAGCGCAGTGGTGCCATCTCGGCTCACTGCAACCTCCACCTCCCAAGTTCAAGTGATTCTCCTGCCTCAGCCTCCGGAGTAGCTGGGACTATAGGCATGCACCACCACACCTGGCTAATTTTTTGTATTTTAGTAGAGACGGGGTTTCACCATGTTACCCAGTCTGGTCTCGAACTGCTGAGCTCAGGAAATCCACCCACCTCGACCCCCCAAAGTACTGGGATTAGAGGCGTGAGCCACCGCACCCAGCCTTTGTTTGTTTTTTTAGAGATGGAATCTCACTATGTTGCCCAGGCTGATCTTCAACTCCCATCCTCAAGGGATCCTCCCACCTTGGCCTCCCAGAGGGCTGGGATTACAGGTGTAAACCATCATGACTTGCCAGGAAGCTTTATAAAACAGGGGAGAAAATGGGAATGGAGAAAGGGGTTGGAGACTGAGGGTACACCTAATTCTCGAGGGGACTATTCCTCTGGTTTTCTTTGAGCAAAAATGGAAATTCTCCACATATACCTTAGCAAAGGCAATTTTTCCATTTCGTCCCATTTCACAGCATGGAAAACGAAGTCACCAAGAAGTGGCTCATGTAGGGAATTCACCCTGTGGCGCACCCTCCAATCCATTAAGTGCTGCTTACCACGCTTATGATCAATCAGGCCCCCAGATATTAACAAATTACACTCAACGTCTTCAGGAGCCTTGTTGAAAGAAGATGTAAGGTTATTTAATGGTAAAAAATCATGGCTGTCAAAGCCAGCTTCTGCCAGACTATTTTACTTCTCAGAAAGGAAGGGATCTTTGTAAATTCCTACACATGAAATTTATCCCCCAAAGTATATTTCATATGCCCTGTGCCTTGAAAGTAGTAACTAAATATATATCTATCAATAGGAATTTGTTAAAGAATGATGGTAGAAGCTGACAATTAATGCACTGGACAAAGTTAAAAGGCAACAGGATGTTCAAGTGTCAACTGCCAGCCACATAAGTGAGCCTTGAAGGATGTCCATCCCAGTCAAACCCCCAGAAGACTCCAGCCTCAGCCAACATCTGACTGCAACCATAAGGCAAGAACTGCCCTGCTGAGCCCAGTCATCCCACAGAGGTGGATGACACAATACTACATTATTTTAGCT